CCTGATCGGTGTATGTGATACACACACCCTATAGAAGAACTCTTGTGCTGCTGCATGGGCCTAAGGTCACCATGCCCAATGCCAAGCGTGGGCTAGAGGGGTATAAAGCTCCCCAGTCCTGTGTTCTCTGGAGTGATGGAGCTCCATCCAATACCTTTGGGACGAGTTGGAGTGATCCAGAACTGACCATCCAACATCAGTATCTGACCTCATTAATGCTCAATCAACTCCTCACAGCAATGTTCCAACATCTATAAAGCCTTCCCAGGAGATTAGAGGCTGTTATTGCAGCAAAGGGGGACAAACTCACTATTAAAACCCTTCATTTCAGAAAAAGCGATGAGCAGGTGTTTTCAAATTTTTGGAGAGGAGTCAGCTGCAGTCTGAGATGCTAAGCACTGGAAGAAAAAATGCATGCATTAGCAGGCAAGCATGAACTGGATGAACAGTCCTGAGGGACGTTAGAGAACCTTCACATTCTTCCCACACCCTACAAATAATCTGGCAAATCTATATGACTAAAAAGGCTTTTCTAGACAGGCAGATGATTCATGATTTATGAGGGAGGCATATGATGCAGTTGCCATTCGCTGGAATGAGATGTTTAAATGGAAATGTTTGTGGCACAAAATGTTGGGATGCCACGCAGACGTTATGTTAATGAGCTTTTCTTCCGCTTTATGAAAAATTTACCAGAGCTTCTGTGTTCATTTATTCATTTATCATTCTGTGTTTGCCTGTGTTACTAAGAAAGGATGAGTATTTGAATCATGGTTATTGGTGAAGAATGCGTGCTAGTGCACGATTTGATAAGGCTTAATTTCCGGTTTCACCTTAAGAAGGATTTGGTTGTAGAGCAGAGATCAACTCCAAAAATCACAGGTTGTTAAATGTGCTGTTGATGTAACTGACTGGCCACAGATGGTCACACCAGCGATTACACGCTGCAAATTGTTCTGTGCTTCCCAAGATTTAAAATCTTAATAATCTTAATAAAAGTTATTTGCTAGTTTCATTTTTGAATTAATGGTACATTCTTAAATATGCCTTTCATGCCTCAATTAGTCAGAGAATCTTAAAATAATCCTAAAATCGAGTAATTTACTGGTAAAACAAGCCACATTAGAAACAGCTTGTTTCAAGATTCAGTGACAAAATCTTCAAAAGTTCTACTGCTTGATTGAAGAATCACACCCAGTTTTTCTTGGGTTGCTCAGCCAAGTTTTTTCTTTCGCTGTTAAGGTTGTAATTTTATTTTATTCAGAAATATTTTTTCTTGAACTTTTTTGGTCTTCAGTGATCCAGTGTCATCTCTCTCTCTGTTCAGTGGTCAGTTAATGTTGAGGGAAATTTCACTTGAAGTTCTGGTTGTGATTTCAGTAAAATCAGTTTAGAGATTAAGGACTAGTTTTAAATTAAATACAGGTTTAGGCTGACCTGTTTCAAGACCAGACAACTTGTTTCAGTAGGAGCATAATCATCCTCCACTAGTATTGAATCATTTCTGCTTAAATTAGTGATTTTTTTTTTGTTCCTTGACCTTCATTTTTTTCAGTGTGGTAAAATTAAGACTGCACAAAAAAACTAAGAATGAATTAAGCAATAGAACCTGAGAGGGAGTGTGTTGTCGCGAAATAACATCACGGCTGTGATTTGGTCGCAGGCACAAGTCCACACTCCTCGAGTGTTCTATTGCTTTTATACAACGGTTAAATAAATAAGGTAATAAATTAATAAACTGGGCTGTGAACGCGGCGTTTAATATGTTTTAATGTTCGCAGTTCCTTCAGCCAAATTATAGTTCCTTAACAAGCAGCTTGTTGCTACGTCAGAGTAACGAGCTCCGCCCACTCGCTGCACAGCCGGCAGTTCGCTCTCCAGCTCCTCACACTAAATTCCCAAACTGTCATCACCACTGAGCAGCTTTTCAGTCGGCAGCTGTGACAGAAGAACAGCTAAACAACCTGGAATCAGCCAGAAATGAACCCAACACCATTCGCCAAACGTGTAGTCTGATCTTCAGAGTCTGACCAAATCGGACTGAGCCATAAAACTGCCGCAATATCAAGTTTAGCTCAGTTTTGTCAGTCTTTGCCAGATCGGTATTAATGTTGTTTTGTTCCAGCCAGTCTGTAAAGCATCTTACAGCCCATTTAGTTTGGCGAATGGTGTTTGGTTCTGGCTGATTCCAGGTTGTTTAGCTGTTCTTCTGTCACAGCTGCCGACTGAAAAGCTGCTCAGTGATGATGACCGTTTGGGAATTTAGTGTCGTCTCATCTTCAGAGTCTGACCAAATCGGCTGTCGGTCAAATGTGTTCTTAAAAGCGTCCATTTCCTGTTTGTGGCAAAATAAGAAGTAAAAACGTTCAAATGGCTTGAGCGTCTCCTACAGCTGTCAAAGTCGTTGCTTAGCAATGGAGTCTCAGCGGAGTGATACAGTGTTTGTGAAAAAAACGTGATATTATGGCGAAATAACAGCACAGTTAGAACGCTTCTCAACCCATCAGCTTGCGTGGCCGGAACTAACTGTAGTATAATGGCTAATATTCAGTGTGTTGTTATTACTATGCTGCAGCAAGCCTGATCAACATTGTCTACGCATTTCAAATCCGCCCAATAACCGCTGGGCTAGGCTCCAGCTCTCCTCGCGACCCAGAAGGATAAGCGGCTTAGAAAATGTGTGCATGTATATACTCATTTCAAACCTTTGAACTCTTATCAGAGCTTCTTATTTCTAGTCTGGAACGCATTTTAAGATTTCTTTTTGACTGAAATGATCTTGTTGCCTGGACAGATCATTTCAGAAGTATTACACAATTTTCTCCTCAAATTCAGTGTTTATTTCTTGTTTATTTAGCTCATGTTTTTTGCAGTACAAAAACTCTGGAACAGAAACTGGATTCAAGGCTCAAGGCCTCCATTACAGAGCAGAGGTGTCAAACTGTGTTCCTTCCAGGCCACAGCTCTACAGAGATTAGTTTTCCTGTTCTGACACTCAGTACAACTCCTGAAGCCTTTGCTAAGTTAGCTATTGAGTTCAACAGGTTTAATGAGGCAAACCACTAAAGCTTTGGTCTAGAAGGAACCCTGTTGGACAAATCTGTACAGCTTTACTATTTTCTTGAAGCAAACGTAATATAGTTCTCTGAGAAACCTTGTAGATGTAAAGTCAGAGACGATAGCTCATCTGCTGCTGCAGTCTGCTGGTCATCCTCTAGTCCTTCATCAGTGGTCACAGGACGCTGCCCACAGGACGCTGTTGGCTGGATGTTTTTGGTTGGTGGACTATTCTCAGTCCAGCAGTGACACTGAGGTGTTTAAAAACTCCAGCAGCACTGCTGTGTCTGATCCACTCAGACCAGCGCAACACACACTAACACACCACCACCACGTCAGCGTTACTGCAGTGCTGAGAATGATCCACCACCCAAACAGTACCTGCTCTGTGAGGGTCCATGGGGGTCCTGACCACTGAAGAACAGGGGGCTAACAAAGTATCAGAGAAACAGATGGACTACAGTCTGTAACTGTAGAACTACAAAGTGCACCTATATAGTAAGTGGAGCTGATTAAATGGACAATGAGTGTAGAAACAAGGAGGTGGTCATAATGTTATGCCTGATTGGTGAAGTGGCCTGCTGAAATATTCAGAAAGGAAGCTGCATAGAAAACGATTGGAAAAAAAAAAAATCACCAAGAACTTTTGACACTTCTAAATCAATCATTAAGATATCTAGAATGTTTTAAAAATGGAAAAAGCAAAGGAAGCTTTCAATAAAGGACGTAAAGGTCACAACTGTAACTGGTACAGTATACAAGGAAAGCTAGAAGTCGATAGAATTCTTGAAAGTGGTGTCTTTCAAGAATAAGAATAGTCAATATGTTTGGAGCAGACGTCAGAATGCTTCCTCTCAATCTACACTAATTTTAGATCTCACAAATTGCTGAATTAAGTTGAAGTAATTAAGGAAATGTGACGCTTCCAGTGATTTGTAGAAGACGTTGGTTTTAAATACGTTTTGAAAAGTACCCGTGTTAACTCTAAGGTTTGAAAAGCAGACTGTGGGCTGAATTTTCAATAAAACAGATGTAGTTTATCTGCACAACAGGCAGCTTCAAGAACAGCTTTACTGGAACGTTATAAAGCACTTCCATAATTTTCCATAGAGGCTCTGGACTCTTTTCACCATCCTTCACTGCTTAACAATCAGACTTTTTCAAAGCTTCAACAGGGGACAGTTTATCACTGCTAGCAAAACAAATATCCATAATCATTTGTAAAACATATGGTCACCAGCCTCCTTCTTTTAAACAGTGCAAATATAAACAATAATCAATTCTTGATGTAAATCACATATCAAATCAAACAGTGAGTACAGTGTCTTTTCAATATGTAGACAGTGCAGCACATTATACTTCAAACGTCCCTGAAACAGGGAATTTCGGACAGTTCTCAAAACAGTAACGGTCAATCCTGAGGTGTCTTCTCCTTACCTCAAAATGTAAAAAAAGGAACTACAAAATAAAAAAAAAAAATCTTCAGAAGTAATACGTGGTCATCTCTGAATGAGTTTCCTTCTCATACTGACACGTGTCCATAAATTTCTGGCACTTCTGGCTATCGTTGTACTTGATGGCAGACGCAGACTTCTAAGCGGCTCTCTTATACAGGTCAGCATTCCTGAACCTGCGTCCTGCAAGTGTTCGTGGGAAATGTAGTTTATTTGTCTCAACTGTTTGTTGTAGTAACTGTGGAGGTCACACAGCTCTTCGAGGGCTGCAGCGGAAATGACTGAGGTCTCAGACGGACAGCTGACCATAGCAGACTTTGGATGGCTAGCTTTAGAAACAGAGTTTGAAACGGGTGATGAAATTTGCTTTCTTCTTTTAGGCGACACTGATTTTCTTTTATGGTTGATTTTAAGACCTTCGTTATTATGAGATGTCCCATCACTTCCAGCAGCACAACTCTGTTCTTGAATACTGACTTCTACGTTGACCTCAATTACAGGGGGGTGGCTATTTTCAGGTGCTTGTGAAGAGCTGCTGTCCTGGTTTTGGGCAAGTTTCCTCTCCAGGTTCTGTTGGTCCTTGTTGATTTTGATTAATTTGATATTTTCACACAGGTCAATGTTGGCATCATTCGAGTTAGTGACCATTTCTTCCGGCAGCTCAGCGGCTGATTGGTCATCCTGAAAAGAAAAAATCTGAGATGTGTTATCTGGTAATGGTGTACTGGAAAGGGCTGAAGGTTATGGCTACATAATGGGGTTAGTGGACCATGCATAGCGTTAATGTTAGATACCCTGCAATGCAAATGTCCCAATGAGAGTGAAACCACAACCTGTGTTAACCGGAACAAGACTGGCAAAAACAAGGTTCTGAAAATGCTTACAGCGAGCATAAAACATGGGCAGCATCACGTAACCGGGAGCGAAATATATGGGGCAAGCAAGACAAAAAGGAGTTGCAAAATATTTTTGTACATACATACAGTACTGTGCAAAAGTCAGAGACCACCCTTCACATTTCATTTCCATTCAAAACAGCCATTAAGTGCAAGTTTTTAAGGATATTACTAAAGAGATTAGAAATAAGATAATCCACTTGCATAAGGAAGGAGAAAAACAAAGGAAAACAAGTTAAAGAGAAAACGGGGCTCCTAAGAACCACCTGGAAGACCTGGTAGACACCAAAACTGCCCCCATCAGATAAACAGCACTTAAAGCTTTCATCTTTGAGAGAGTGGAGAAAATCAAGCTGCTTCAGATCTGAAAACATCCACAGGTGTTTCTGTCCATCCTTCCACTGTGAGAAGACGACTCAGCGCTGTGGGTCTGAAAGGATGTGTAGCTGATCAAGAAGAACCTCACTGAGAAAAGGAGACGGACACATCAAACAAAGAAGCTGAACAATGGACTGACCACCCCAGAGTCCAGACCTCAACACCACTAAATGTGTTTGATTACTTCAGAAAATGATCAACCAGCTTCTAAGACTGAACTTTGGAGGTGTTTACAGGAAGCATGGAAAAGTTTTCCCCCAGATTTCATTGAAAACTGAAGGCAAGTCTCTTAATAAGAATGAATACTGTAGTAAAGGTAAAGAGTGACACAAATAAATAAATACTGAAATTTTTGATATTATTCAGGGTGATTCAAAAGTTTGATCCAATTTCAAAATGATTTCTTTTACTTGTAAATCATTAGAGAACAATGCAGTGAACTGTAAATGGTTTAATTAAGCATAAAGTTTATTATGTAATTGTACAAGTGCTCCATATGAACCTCCTCCAGCTGTACGGACAACATCAACACCATAGTCAAATTCATCCCATACTCGATTGGGTGTCGCTGCACTCACGGCTCTTTCAGTGCGATTTCGGAGATCATCCACTTCTGTGGAACCAACACCGAACGTTCTGAGCTGTTGGAGGTTCACTGCCCACAAAATCACGCTGCACAGTTATGACGGATTCACTCTTATTGAAGTGGAGAACGCAGAACGCTTTCTGCTCAGGGGTCTCATCTCCTCTCAGACTGAAGGGAGCCATCTTTCGGTGACCGTCAAAAATTCTATGACCCCCTTTTACAATTGGATTGTGATTGGCTCCTAGGTGCCTTGCGGTTGTAAAAATATGATGCTTTGACATCGGATGAATCTTTTTGAATCACCCTGTATTTAGTTGTTGAGGCTTGTGTCATTTTATATTAAATATATATTTGCTGCTTTTCTTTCCTGATGCTAAAATGTACAGCTGGAAAATAAATAAATGAAGAGTGGTCTCTGCATTAGGCACAGTACTGTATGATCCTGAGTGCACATTCATACAACGTCTGCATGCTAAATTGAAAATACATTGTAAGGGTAACTGTACTTTTGCTCTCTTTTCCTCATGGGCTAGGGAACAGTCTCTTTCTTGACTTTCTTGGCCACACGGCTTCCCCCAGAATTCTCAGCAGGTCTTTTTCCTTCTTTTGGTTTTACCTTGGCACTACTCTTATCTCCACTGCTCTCCAAATCTTTTACCTGCGGGCAGCACAAGAGTTGTTTTAAGCAGTGTGTAAAAGGGGAACTTCGTTTATTTTTCAAAACCTCTGCACAATTAAATGGTTAATACATAAATTAAGTCATTCAGAGTGGTCTGATGTGAAATGCACCACTCTATAGACACTTACCAAGCCAGACTTGTTCAGAATGGTGGTGATAGGAACCAGATGTCTGAAAAGTTTAAGCCCTCTAAAAGCTACATCACAGATCTCTTAAGTGAAACGGTTATGAATATGGTGCCTGATGCCTGAGACACTGTTTTATAATAGTTTTTAAACAAATATACATTTCTAATACATTCATAATAGGGTGGTACATGCAGGGTGTTGTGAGACAAAATAGTCCCAAAAGAAAACATATTTTTCTAGATTTATCACTATTTTACCATCATCAGCATTCCATATAAAACTCATATAAGACTCGTGTAGGTTCACTGGTGGTTTTGGATAGTAAATAAAATGGCTATTTTGTGTTGTAGTCATGGCGATCCCTGGTTCCTATCACCACCACTGTAAAGAAATCTGAGTCAAGTTCCTCTACAATGAGTGTGTTTACATGCACTCAATAATCCGATCATAATCAGATTTCTGCAGTTGTCCGATTATTCAAATGGTCATGTAAACAGCACACTCTGATCTAGAAATCTGATTAAGAAATTCGATAAAGAGGCTGGATCTTAGCTCAGTATTCAGATTTCTCAGCGCATGTAAACTCTTACTCTGATTTCTTTCAGATTTCTCAGTTTGCGCAAGCGCGAGAACAGATGGTGGTACTGAAAATAAACAGCGTCACCACGAGACGCAGCAAAACACTTTTGGAGCGATGCTGAAACCAAATACATGCTTGACGATATGAAGGATTTAAATATTCTTTATTTTCTAGATGATGTCTATTCATATTTTTAGGTAAAGTGGCTCAATTTTTTTAAAGCTGCTGCATTAAGTTTGAGTTTACGTTTACGTCACGCATTCTTCTGTGAGTTTATTGGCTGGTAGCACAGCAGAAATCTGATTACTGTCCGACTCATGTAGACCTGGAGTTTCACATTATCTGATTACTCAAGTGCATGTAAATGCGTTGATCGGATAACTGACAAAATCTGATTTTCTGCAGCTATCGGATTATTAAGCGCATGTAAATGCACTCAAGGCAACATTTTGTATCAAACGACTCTGAGTGACTTTGTTCACATCTCAGCCATTGAATTTTGCAGACATTTTGAAAAAATTGGTGGAATTCCTCTTTAAGGACAGTGACGATGAAAGTGGGCAACATGTGCTGCAGAGAGACAATGGATATAAAAATCATTACTACAGATTAATGCAAAATCCAACCTATATGTTTTAATCTGATTAGTGCAGCAACATCATAGATTGGTTTTCCAAACACAGATTGAGCCCAAATCTGGACTAAAAAGCATTCACAATGGGAATTCTCCATTAAGCATAGTAATAGTGTACAGGAACATAAAGTGTATTTGGAGAAGTCAAGTAGTTAAATATGTCTAGTCCACATGTCCACTCCTCTCTGGCAAGTGGCCAGTGTATCATAACACCTACAATCACATCCCACCAAACTCAGGTCAGAGTCACCACGACACAATGCAGAATCAATCTGGTGAACACCGAAACTCCATGTGCTCTAAAGTACCTCCACCCAGACAGAATCATCTACTGCAGTGAGAGAAAACGTAGTGTTCACCTTCTTGACAGCTCTGCGGCGAAAACGTCTTTTATTACTTTTAAACACAGGTTTAACATCTTGCGAAGTGCCCAAGATGCTCTCAACGTAAAGCCTCTGGGCTCTCCTTTGGCGCCTCTTTTTAGCTCTCATCCATTTCTCAGCAGTCAGCGCCTGCCGCACTGCTTCATCTGCATGCTGCAGATTTCTCCACTTCTTCCTCGGTCTGCGTTTCTTTCCGCACTGAGGCTAGCATTAAAGAGTCAATCAGGATCACACCATAGAAGTATTCAAATGTTAAAGGCACACGACTGGCCTTATTCGCAACTGAAGCATACCTTTATGAACCTCACGTCAGAGCTTGTCCAAATGTCACTCACAAATTCGTTCTCTAGCTTGATGACCTTCATGCAAAATAGATCATTAAAATCATTTGTCTGGGGAAAAAAAAACTTTTCAGAAAGTAACTTTCTGAAATCGCAGTCAGTGCTGAATTTAAAGCACACCCAAAATCAAGGCATTACTTACAGATGCATCCTACGCAGAACTGGGTCTTACCAAGCGAATTTTGAACCGAGCTAAGGCTGAAAGATTATCCATTTTTACACTGAAAGTGCAATTTTTAGCTACAATTTTAATTACAGCCTACAAAAACGTCTTCATTTTTGAGTGTGGAAATTTAAATGAACATAACTGAATTTGTGAATTGCCTGATGAGTTCAAGCCTCAAGCCAGAAAAATGGGTATGATGGTCTATTTGGCCAAAATAACAGGTCTGGATCTAACGCATTAATAGAAAATAATAGAAATCTAAATTGGGGTCACACAATATTCACGAAGAAAATGACAATTTGATGTTTCCCTCACTTTTGCTGCCAATGAGCAGGTCTTCAACTCGCACTCTTACTGAAAGGAAAGGACTAATCTCCAGGGCTGTGTGGCAGAGTTAAGCATTTAGCATTCATGAGTGCGCTGCACTTCCAGTGATGACCCATTTCAGGGGTCGGCAACATGCAGCCCTTTTACTGCCATTGCGGCTCCACAGCAGAATTAGATTTGCAGGTAAATTTAAAATAATCCTCCTTTGCAGTAAAATAAAGCTCGGCTGGTCGTTCTAACACAGTTTTACGCATTACTGTACATACATACATACATACATCTTCTAAACCACTTATCCTTCTGGGTCGCGGTGGGGTGCTGGAGCCTATCCCAGCTGTCATTGGGCGGAAGGCAGGATACACCCTGGACAGGTCGCCAGTCCATCGCAGGGCAGACAGACATACATATACAATTACACACTCACTCAGACCTAGGGGCAATTCAGCATGTCCAATCAGCCTGACTGCATGTTTTTGGACTGTGGGAGGAAACCGGAGTACCCGGAGGAAACCCACGCAGACACGGGGAGAACTGGCAAACTCCACACAGCAATGACCCTGGTCACCCGGCCGGGAATCAAACCCAGGCCATTCTTGCTGTGAGGCGGCAGCGCTACCCACTGCGCCACCGTGCCGCCTAATTAATGTATAACTGCGTTAATGTTCAACTGCGCGCAGACTGCTGGACACCAAAACAACACAGATAAGAATCTGGCCTAGCTAGTAGCTAACGCAAAGGCAAAGAGAGAGATTTAAGACGAACATAATTTGGAGACGAATTAACTTATTTGCATTGCATGTGTTTGGTAGTGCACATCTCATATGACAGGAGAGCACTGCAACTGTTTATGGAAATGCTCACTGAGTCCAGATCCAACTGTTTCTATATAAAGGATTCTTTTCTCAGAACACACCAGGACTAAACAAGCTGTGGTTAGTATTTAGAAAGTGATGTCTGGGTGCTACTAACTATGATGAACATGTGGGAGAAAATGAGGAATTAGTTGACTGTGTCATCCAAGTGATCCCAAAACTGCAATTACAATTAGGAAGACTGGTTCCATTAGTAGTCAGTTTACAATCACAATGAAATCACAGTGATATTATAAAAGCATATTGAGACATTACCAACTTGTATAGCTTTGTGTTAAATCTTAACAGGTAATATTACAGCAAATTGTGCCTGATAATGTGTTTTAATCTAAACTGCCATAAAATGTGAACAGTGGTTATGGACATAAGTGCTATCTGCTTTTAGAAGCCATAGCATCTTTGATTACCCATAGAAAACATCAGAGAAGAAGTAAAATAGGAAAAAAGATATATTTACACTTGAAGCCGCTACTGACTGCCTCCCTGTGCTGGGTGTAGGCACTGTCCTCTTCATTTTCATCGTGACACCGTGGTTTTCATTCTTAAGCAGAGGAGCCTTGCGTCCTACCTTCAGGTAGAAGTATGTAGTGTATGGGGTGAAGCTGAAGTCTTCGCTTTTAAGGAAATGGGAGAGTCATTAAAAACCTTCACAGAAGAAAAAGATGAGATGACTTTTAAGTGTTTCTCTTACTATTAAAAAGGGCCCATATCTTACATTTTTCTTGTATTTTATCTTTTCCCTAAGTTCCATTTACAACATTTGTATAGCTTTACAGCAAAAGCAATCATAATACATTTTTTGGGGTTGACTTTTTTCAACCTCTTTTTATCCCTTAGAATTAAACAGACTGTTTTTGTTACTGTGCCTTTAAGACTAAACTATGTAAATGAGCTCTGATCTGATTAGCTGGTCTGTATTGTGTCTCACTCAGAAAGCAGTCAGGATAGGCGGATATATATGTTGATTTTTCATGAAATCGAAACAGGCTCTTTTCATAATATATATATATATATATATATATATACACACACACACACACACACACACACACACACACACACACACGTATATATATATATATATATATATATATATATATATATATATATATATATATATATATTGGTATGTAACAGTCTTAACATACTACATCAAATGCTTGTATTTTCACGAAAAATATGGAAAATCTTGTTTTCCATGATATGGGCCCTTAAAATCGAAGTCCTCTCAAGGGTTAGGGTTAGGTACCTGAAGTAGCCATGCAGTAAGAGATGGACAATGATGGACTCCACCTCCTGACGTGACAGGATCGTGACCTTGATCATTTTGCGAAGTTTGGCATTCCCTTTCCCCATCCAGGTATCGCACACCTTGAGAGGCGTCATCTTCTCATCTAGAGACCCAGCCAGCTCCACAAGGTTCACCACCTCACGCGCATGCTTGGTGATATCCATGGTGACATAGTCTGGTATAGTGAGACGGACTAGTTACAGTACAGTAGACTAGATACAGTGACTAGATACAGTGAAACCTGACCGAGCTCCATGACAATAACAATACTACAACAATAAACTATAACTTAAAGCACTTATCTTGGCAGAGAAAATAAACATTTCCTTTACCATTGCCATGGCGACAGACATCACACATCTGGTTGCATTCCTCATCATCCCAAACTTCATCAAAGTGAACTGCCATCATGGCACGGCGACACCTAAAGGCAATACACAAACACCTCATATGGACCTGGAAAATGGAGTAAAACTACCTGCTGCTCAAGACGCAGTCATAACGTTACACTACGAGTTACAAAATGACAAGAAGCAGGTAAATGTGATAACAAATGATCTGTTTATGAAACCCGACTACACTACATACTTTCTATAACTCATAATTTAATGTTCAGAATTTGTTATTCTAAACAAATGCTCCCCCTAGCAGGCACATGTGCAAAGAACAATAGTGTAGTCGAGGTACAATTGGTACTAATGACCCTGACTTCTTGTGAGGCTACATTCACACAGCAGGTAAAAGTGGCCCAAATCTGATTTTCTAACCAAATCTGATTTTTTTTGTTTGGCTGTTCACATTATCATTTAAATGTGAACTACATGCAACATTAGTCTGAACAGATCAGCTCCTAAACTGACCCACAGCACAAAAGAACAATGCTTCACATTGCTTCACGCGGCTCAACCAGAGGTAAACAATCATGACGACGAACGGACGCCAGTCGTTCCCGGAGGGTTCAGTTTCATCTTCGCCAGCATCACAGGAGCCATCCTGAAGCTTCACTGACTGACAGCTGGGCTCATCATCCGGAATGTGTTTGAGCTCGCCGTAAAAAGTGCATGCTATTCGAACACGGTCACTTCTTTGGTTCGAGTCCTCTGATTCTTTAAACTTTGCTTTCAGACTTTACCTTGACGCTGCAGCTTCCTTGTCCTCCTTCAGTCATTTCTTTCAAAATCTCTTCGAACATGGAGGTAAGGTGTTAGAAGTGTCTTCTAATTTTCAGCACAAAATAATGATGACTGTGGAGATGGATTGACGTAAAAGTCACATGAATTCCGATCTGATTGTTCAGACTGAGTCGCGTTGCTGCACATCAGATACGGATCGGATTTCAGTACCACATATGAAAGCGTCTCAAATCAGAATTGAAAATGTCAGATTAAATGTGTTTTTTTGCTATTCACATTGCTACAAAGATGACACATCTGTGTCACATATGAAGAAGAAGATCGGATTTGGGCCACTTATACCTGCTGTGTAAACATAGCCTTACTTATATGTTGTACCAAGCAAATTACACTTTCATGTAATTCTTACCTGTCCACATTCTGGCAATAGGCCACCATATTCTGAAGCTTCTGCTGGCCAGTATTCTCCATCACAACCATGGTACTGATCCTGAAAATATCTGCAAACCCATAGAACACGATGCAATCTGCCGGACCGTCGTCCCGCCCTGAAAAGGAATCGTAATGTTGTCTTAGGTGCACTCACAATAAAAACCATACTCAATATTCAATCTTTTTAACTTGCCCTCATCCACTTCGACTAACCACTCGACTGTGCATCACATCTATGTTATACAAGTGGCCACTCGCAGCAGAAAGGGAGGAGGCGACAGTGAGGAGCAGATTATTCAAGCCTCAGTGAGCTAATCGGCTAACTACACAAACTTTGCAATGCAAAACATTGTTTTTTAAGAAGTGTGAGCATAACATCAATAACGTCTGTGAGTAATTACTTTGTCTGGCTATAAACTTGGAGTAGAACTGAGCTGTAGTGCCTGTCTTTTTGTTCTTTACTGCCATGTAGTCTTTATAATGCTAATGAGGCAGCTAGCAGAGGAAAGAGATGAAGCCGGATCAGCAGTCATACAGAACAGTTTGAGTAGTTTGTAACTAATGTCCAGCAAATCAAATGTTTTGAAATGTTAAAAATTTTAAAGTAGAAAAGCGTCGGGTCAATGATTTCTGGGTAAGTTCTGCTGCTAAAGTCAACACTGGTGTTCCTCACCCCTCCGAGGGCTCATCGAACACCCTTGACTTCAGCTAATAAAGTAACAGAACAGCCCTTAAGATGGTGCTTTGGACTTTCCTGAGGGGAAGTGTTGAGGCCAAGTGGATGAGGGCTTGTTAAAACCGCTATTGAAATGTGAGTGGGGGGTTGGGTGTTAAACTTTTATAGGTTAGTTGCCATTTTCATTATGGTTTGATTATGCTCATATATGAGAGACTTTTATTTTGTATTTCTATGGCAGGGGACCACATCTGGGTTCGGAAGACTTCATTGCATTTGTGTAGACCAGAGGTAACTAATAGGCGGACCGCGGCCCGAGTCCAGACCCAGGCGCTGTCCTATGCGGACCTGGGCCTATGACCGATAAACTACGGAGAATTATTTAATTTTGACGGGGTGGTCTTATTTTAATCGGCATATCATTTCTAGTCATTATGGTACCAGTTTAGCGGCCTGGGAAACTCACAGACCAACCGCATGCGTTGTAAATATCACACGCGACGCTACTCAGCCAATCAGATCTGTGCATTACGATAAGCACTAAGACTCGAGTGAGTGACGCACACACAGGGGAGGGACGAGGCGAGAAACAGCAGTTGGAGAAGAAAGTGAGCCAGATTATTTTACATGGTGGGTCTAAAAGAGAAAACTGACAATAAATATTGATGAAATGCTACTGAATTGTACTTTATTTGATTTGATATTTAGTTGTTGACTGTATAAGATGTTGATATACCTACTAGGCTACTTCAGTAAACAGTATACGGCACTGAATCATAATGCAAGGTAGACATTATGATGTTCTGGACCTTCGCTTGAGGAAATTTTCTCTAACTGGACCTTACTGAATTTTAATTAAAGACCTCTGGTGTAGACTGATGGATGACATGCTAATCAAATAGCAGAAAAAGTCAGACCACCAAAATGTAGTTGAACTGGAGCCCACCTGCGCGCCCACTCTCCTGATAATAGTTCTCTATTGACTTGCTGATGGTATGGTGGATTACAAAGCGCACGTCTGCTTTGTCGATGCCCATTCCAAACGCCACAGTTGCCACAACCACCTGAAAGACAACATACAGTTTCTGGACTTTAACAACAGGTTTGCTATTTTTCAGTCCAGGTTTTATTACATTTGTTTTATCACATCATCTGTAATTATTCAATGCATAAAAATACACCCTGCTGATGTCGTCACCTCTCAGTACCATGTAACATTCATTCCACACTCCCTTTAAGGTTTTCAAAGGATTACAGGGGAATTTCACCTTTTTTCTTTTCATTGTAAACAAAGTCATTCACAAAGATTTGATGATAAATGTGCCATTCTATAGAAACTTGGTGAGACAGTGTTTCACAAGTTTTGGGATACAATTAAGGCCTAAAACGTTTTTCAAATTAAACCCTAAAACGTTTTTCAAATTAAACCCATAGTTACATGCAGGGCATTGTAAGACAAAAAAGGTACCCCCTTTATTTTTCAAAATATACCACTGCATTTACTGTTTTGAAATGGCACTGTAGCCATCATGTCCCCTGGTTCCACTGTAAAGAAATCTGAGTTGGTAAGTTACTTTAAAAGGCACCATTTCACATCAAACCACCCTGAACAACTTTGTTGACATCTCAGTAATTGAATTATGCAGAAAATTTGAAAAAAATGGTGGCATTCCCCTTTTAATTATTACTTAAATGGACAAACTATTTCATAGAGAATTAATCTCATATTTGGGCTCTACTTACAAACAAAAGAAGTTATTAAAGATGAGAAACAAAATGACAAAGACATTAAAGTCCATATTTAGCACCATTAAAACTCACATATCATTTATAAAAAGTTTAACTTTTTTCCCCACACAAGCAAAACATTCAGACTTGGATTTCTCAAACTGGGTTCACTCAGTACTTCTTTTTCATTACTTATTACTCTTTTTAAGTTCTTACTTGGTCAACGGCAGTGATTTCCCAACTTCAGTGTCATGTGACTAAAGGTTATACCTGGATCTTTTTGCTAGACCACTGATGATGAACCAAGGTCTTGTCTGAAGGCTCCATGTTTGCGTGGTACGGCTGTGCCAGGATGCCCCTCTGCTGCAGGTCTGCGGACACCACCTCTGCATCTTTCTGGGAGAAGACGTACACAATCCCTGCATAAAAAGAAGGAAAAAGTTCTCCAATTATGATAAATAACAGCAGGAACCTGTAATACAAAATTCAGTGTCATTTCTAAGCAATATTCTTCACTGTGTACCTGACTGGTCCTTGTATCTTTCCTTGATCAGTGCTGCTATTTCTTTGGTTGAGCCTTCATTATCCTTAACTCGAACCTGTAAAATTATATATATATATATATATATATATATATATATATATATATATATTTATATATATATATATATATATATATATATATATATATAAATAAATTTTAAAAAAGGCCAAAATGTATGAATTTTTTTTTCTCTTTTTACAGCTGTATCCTATTCTATGCTTTGGAAGCAGACTGATCCTCCCTAAACCCTGAATAACAATTGAGATGCTATTTTACTTGTAACATGAAGAGGAGCTGAGTGTGCTTACTTCATAGTAGAGGTTAGGTCTGTTGAATGGTGCTGTAAGTGTCACTGGATCTGGAACGCAAAGAATCTTCTGGCAGTCCTTCAAAACACTGCTGGTCGCAGTGGCAGTCAGTCCAACCAGTGGGACTTTGGGGAACTGACGCTTTAAGATGCCCAGAAGCTTGTAGTCTGTCACAGGAGAGTCACTTCAGTGCCACATACTGTGAATACCATATAGTACTAATACCATATAAATACTATATAGTACTAATACCTAATACTAATAGCAGCACTAATACCAGTAGTCTACATGCATTGGTTTTATACTCATATAAAACCAAAGTTGCAGGTTTTAGTTTGTTTTCTGGACATAAAGCCATAAGAATAAATATAAATTTGAATAAATTAAAAGTTGTAGATATTTGTCTATGTCCACTTATTCAGATTCAAAAATATTTTCAAAAGCACAAATTTGTTCCAAGACAGTATAAGCTCTGTTTGGGACAGCAGACTCGGCAAGTTGGGAAAAAGTTTTAACTTGAAAACTTTTCTTTAAATGACCTGACATAACTGGGCATACATGTAAGATGAAGCCTGAGCTGTAACAGTATGTATTATGAAAAATAACCCTGCTACTACTATAATAAAGCAATATTGGAAAAAATAAAATAAAATAAAATAAAATTACTTCTAGTTGGTACTAGAATTTTGGCTTCTTTCCAATAAGCTTCACGCAAAGTCATTCACAAAGGTTTGATGTGAGATGTGGCGTCCTAGAGGCACTCGGTGAGTCAGACTCTAAAAGCTCCCGCATGTAAGGTTTTTACGTGAAATGTAAAAATACATCACAACAGTTTTTGAATAAGATTTTGTCATAAAACATACATTTAACCCTATTCAGGGCAGAGAGTTGCATCAAGGGCATTATAAGGCAAAAGTCATGTTTATGTTTTAAGATTTTTTTTAAATGACCGCAGACGGTAAGAGTTACTAGGTTTTGATAAAGGCACCATTTCACATCAAACCACTCTAAACGACTTTGTTTAGATCTGTAGATCTGAGGCCAGCCTTGTGTCTGGAGCTGAAGTTTGCAGAAAATTTTGAAAAATGATGAGATTCCTCTTTACATATGTTACGCTTAAATGGACACACTATTCTCATAGAGTATTACAATTATAGTGGTAGCAAGGTTAGTAGCATGATGAATATATGTTGCACTTACATGCACAATAAATAAACTATAAATTTAGCAATATTCTTGTATTATTAGGCTTTATTCTCTATAAGCTGCAAACTAACTCGATGTGCATAAGAACATCTGTACTCAAGCAAGGCTACGTTCACATTACGAGGTTGAAGTGGCACAAATCTGATTTTTTGCCCTAATGTGACTCAGATCTGATGTTTTCAGGGCTGTGTGGACACAAATCTGATCTTTTCAAATCCAACCTGAGCCACTTTCATGTGTGGTCCTAGATCGGATGCGTATCCAATTCGTGGCCTTGCGACCTTAATGTGATGCTCAGATCGGAATTCATGTGCTTTTTTCCACTGCCCTGCGCCATCATTCAGCGTTACCATGGCAACAGAACCGAACAGAAGTTAAAGCTTGTAAACGATGGAAAAGCAGCTCATCTCACCTTTTTCTCCATCGTCTCGCTCTAACAATGAAGCTGAGAGCTGATCAGAGTTAATTATCTTCTCAGCGAAGCTCGTTCTGCTCGTTAGTTTGTGCTGATGATGAACGTGATTCATTCACGTGACGTTACTGAGTAGGATGAGCTCATGAGGGTCATTTCAGGACGCCGGTTCATTCACATTAACGACAGATTTGAATCACTTACCTAAACGAGTGTGAACCATCGTATCAGAGAGATCGGATTTGAGCAGAAAATCGGATTTGAGCAATGAGGCTTATAATGTGAACGTAGCTCAAGTGTATCTATCTAACAATAACTGTAACAATCTGATTTGCCAATGATGTGTCATGGTATGGACTTTTCTACAAACTGTTGTAAAGTGTTCAGGTTTACAGAGACTGTGGGTTTTGAGATTACTCTGGTCCTACACAGACAAAAGGTGTTCAGTTCATTTTTACGTTAAAGCCAACCCAGTGATGTCTCGAAGTGACACGGCATGGATGAAGCCGATGGTAAATCACACCGATGCAGACAGAGGTCATTCACATGTTAGGATTTGCAAACAATTCTTCTTTGATTGCTGGACCCTCGCTTGCACAGGCTACACATAAATACTCTTGGGAAAATATCTGAGAAAATATTTTGTAGCACAGTAATGTAATGCTTTATATGCTTTATATATATAAAAAGGTTATGTTTAATTCACATGCTTTTTGCACCACTTCACTTAGTACACAGTCACATACCATCGCTGCCATATCATGTTTAGTTACTGAACAGGGTCTGCTGTACCTCCTTATCTGAAATCATGTTTATTTTAACTGTAAGGCGCGCACACACACACACACACACACACACACACACACACACACACCTCCTGGTAACCTTCTAAGTAATGTTATTTCAGCGGCATGTGCACTTGCTTTTTTTCATCTTGCCTTGATCTGCTCCTCTCATTATGGTTATGGGTTTAGCTGTAATAATATTTATGAATACAATACTGTGAAAAATCACGTTTAACAATCTGTGACACACGGACAATATGGGTCATTCTACAGAGATGTCCCTTTTTTGCGTCCCTAGCGTTTACAGATATATTACACTTAAAACACGTTAGGGTTACAATTTATTTAGATTTTAAAATAAAACTATGTTATTTTAACAGTTACACCTTCTTGAGCCTCAATTTAGCAATACTGGTTTTAAATCGATCACATAGAATTCCAAGCACCACAGAAGTGCTTGTCCCCACAGTCATGTGTGAAGGCTGAGGCCATATTTTCAGGTAAAAAACATGTTTTTCTCCAATTTTAAATACAATAATCTATACATGAATATGAAATATATGATTTAAATGACAAAGAAAATAAATGCCAAATAAATATTATAAAATATATAATGAAAGTTGTCCCCAGGAGTCGTGTCACTGGTGTTACCCCTTAAAAAATCTCCTATTTCGAAATAAAAGTCACATTGATGACATCATTTGATTTCCTTTTACCCATTTTCTGGGGATCTATGAAAAACAGCACATGGCGAGTCCACTGTGTCTGTTATCAGAGATTTTCTCATTCAGCTCATGATTTCATATGAAGCTTTTAGCTGAAGTCACTGGTGTGACCGACTTTATTCTGAGGTCATTGTGAAAAAAATAGAATACAAATGGATTAAATTACATATTTTAGTGGATATTCCATGATTGACAACATGTGGTTTGATGCTCTGTAGCAGCCATTTTGTAAAATGCATTTTTCATTAAAAATATCTCTGGTGCTGCCTTTATTATGTAACACCGATGAGGATCGGTAACACCAGTGACTCCTATGGATAGATAGAAAAGTGGACATTTCTGTAGAATGACCCATATAACAACATTACTTTGCCAACTTAAATGCCTGGTGAACAAGCAAGCTAGCTTGCAAACTACATAACATTAGGCTAACAATATTACATTAAATATTTTCTGAAAGTTGGCAGGTCTGCGTTAAGTTACGTTTCCCTTTGCAAAAGAATTAAAAGCGCTGGCCTTCCTTGTGGAATCACCCAGACAGAATGAGGAGGGGAACAAGAGGGCTAAAACCTATTTGGTGTTGCTGTTGATTTGCGGTCTCTTGAAATGGCTGACCAAATCATACCAGCGTACTTTGGTGTCAAAATGCGTACAGGTTTGCAGGTCTGCTCACCTGGTCTGAAGTCATGACCCCACTGACTGCAGCAGTGAACTTCATCCACAGCAATGCGCTCAAGCAGACCCATATTGTAGGCCTTCTCTAGTTTAGACATCAGTAGTTTGCTCTTGGCGATCTTCTCTGGGGTGACGTACAGCAGTTTGAAGGGACTATTTTTATCCGTCATGCCTGTCATAACATATTTGGATTGTTCCTAAAAAAAAAATGAAACGTGTCATTCAGCAAGCTGATGCTCTCTTTAACGATCATTTGACAAGATGTCTTCAAAAAGTCTTTAATCTTAGGCCTCACCTTCGAACTAGAAGCATTGAGTGTCACAGCAGAAACATCAATGGACCTCAGATACATAAGTTGGTCCTCCATTAGTGACACCAACGGAGCAATAACCAGTGTAAAACCTGTAAGACATGGAAATAGGAATGAAGAGATTCAGCGTGGAACAAATTTAGCTTAATTTAGAACAATAAAAACACTTCTCAAGAACCTTAGTAGGTAGAAAGAAAGAAGAAAGAAAGAATTCACCTTATATATACACACACACACACACACACACACACACACACACCGATCAGGCATAACATTATGACCACCTCCTTGTTTCTACACTCACTGTCCATTTTATCAGCTCCACTTACTATATAGGTGCACTTTGTAGTTCTACAGTTACAGACTGTAGTCCATCTGTTTCTCTGATACTTTGTTAGCCCCCTTTTACCCTGTTCTTCAGTGGTCAGGACCCCCATGGACCCTCACAGAGCAGGTACTGTTTGGGTGGTGGATCATTCTCAGCACTGCAGTAACACTGACGTGGTGGTGGTGTGTTAGTGTGTGTTGTGCTGGTCTGAGTGGATCAGACACAGCAGTGCTGCTGGAGTTTTTAAACACCTCAGTGTCACTGCTGGACTGAGAATAGTCCACCAACCAAAAATTTCCAGCCAACAGCGTCCTGTGGGCAGCGTCCTGTGACCACTGATGAAGGACTAGAGGATGACCAACACAAACTGTGCAGCAGCAGATGAGCTATCGTCTCTGACTTTACATCTACAAGGTGGACTGACAAAGTTGGCGTGTCTAATAGAGTGGACAGTGAGTGGACACTGAGGTGTTTAAAAACTCCAGCAGCACTGCTGTGTCTGATCCACTCAGACCAGCACAACACACACTAACACACCACCACCACGTCAGTGTCACTGCAGTGCTGAGAATGATCCACCACCCAAACAGTACCTGCTCTGTGAGGGTCCATGGGGGTCCTGACCACTGAAGAACAGGGTAAAAGGGGGCTAACAAAGTATGCAGAGAAACAGATGGACTACAGTCTGTAACTGTAGAACTACAAAGTGCACCTATATAGTAAGTGGAGCTGATAAAATGGACAATGAGCGTAGAAACAAGGTGGTTATAATGTTATGCCTGATTGGTGTATATATACATAAAAACAACATATATTAGGTTATTTTTAGCACTTAAACCTACCAAAGTCTAATTAGGTAAGTTTGCAAGTAAAGAAATATGCAGTGGAGTGTAGTTAGGGGTATCCGTCCACCAGATGGAGACATTTCCTCAAGCCTGTCTACGAAACACACAGTAGTGGTTTACCTGCCACTCTTGACCAGATGACCACTAGAAATCTCACTTTTTTCCTTTTTGTATTCATATTTGTTGTTGTTTTCATGAAAAAAGTTGTGTGTGTGATTAAAATTAACATATATGCAAGTTCCATAGTGGTATACTTTATTTCACAGGAAAAAAATACATTTATAGAAAATAAATGTTAAGGATTAAAGCTGCCTATTGAGCAAAATAAAAGCAACACACATAATAACTAACTGAAACATCACTGAATGGGTTTTATTTGACCAAAAAAAAAGAAAAAAATATTTATATATTTACAAGCAGCACTTAAAGGTCCCACTGTCTTTCAACTGAAGGGACACGGTGCTGCATACAAGATTCTTTAATAATAATAATTTCATTAAGGTAAACAGCAGCAGCATTTGTCACTGTAACCAATGGCATGTCAAACAGTGTGGGATTCCCTATGTAAAGTGATATATGCACACTGCTGCCATCTCCACTCTGATAGGCCTGAAACCCAGACATGCTTAATTTGGCTGGAAAATTACAAATAAACATGAAATTTCTCTTCAAAAGGCATTTTCACGATCCCCACTTTTCCTGTTTTTTTCTCTATAAAATCTGTATAACTCATACTTTACTGTTACAACTGAAGAGTTCATTCCAAAGCATTATACACAAATATTTTACAAAAGTTTGGTAATCAGGATTTTTAAACTGAGGCATGCTGAACAAGTAATTCATATTCAACCATATTCTTGTAATCATTTTGGATCCATGAAGTCCAACTGATCACCGCAGACATCTTAACTATCACCTTATTATCTCAAAATCACCCAAAATATGACAATTTAAATTTTTAGCCTATGTTAAATTGATTAGAAAAGCCCTCCTGCGTATGGCTTTTATTCTGACATGCCGTATCACACCTTGTTAAAAGGGGACAGCTAAACAGCAGAGAGCGCCCAAGAGGGAGTCCTCAATGAATGGCAGTAAATGGAGCTCAACGGCAAAAAACGAAAAGTTAAAATAGTTTCTAATCTCTCGCCCAGAACGTTTCTTTAATTTTAGAAAGTAGAAGGATGTATTTCACTAAAAAAGCAAAGAAATCTCACCTGTATGTTTCCTTTTTTCTACAGCAAACGGGTTTTGGGCAGCAGAAGGCGGGCATTACTGCTACTGAGTGCTGATTGATTGGCGAGCGGAGCAGCTCATTGGCTGTTCGCGCTCAGACGTCATGAACGTACATGAGGCGCCGCTTTAAACCCCTATAACTCGAGTTTAAAAGCCCTTAAAAATATAACAGCGGTGTTAAAATGTTTTATGCTGCTCTGTGTTCAGGAAATGATTGTATTCTTTTACATTAAAAATGTTTCAGCATTTATAAACTATGATTTTGCTCAAATGCTCCATCTTAACCCATTCATTTTGGACTCGCTCGGGAGCGCCCTCTAGCGTTTGAGAAACCCAGGAGACATTGCAGAGTGGGAATTCTCCTCTCTACAAGTTCTCTGGCACTTTGTAAAAGAAACAAACGGCAGATTTCACATTTTCAAAAAAACACTTGCCTCACTGCCTTAAACAAACAGGTTAGCCTGTAATGTGATCATTCTTAATTTTCTTAATTATTAGCTGTGTGTAGATCACTCAGTTCCACTGATAACAACACAACGTGATAATGTGATGTTTAGCGTGTTTAAGAATGACTCTCTTCCATTTTGGAGCGACTGTGATTAAAAGCAGTAGTGATAACGGATTGGTCACGTAATACTCAATACATTTAATAAAGGTCAGTATCAGCGCCGATACCAAGCCAGTGTATCGGATCAATGCGTCTAACGTGAAATGACGGAAAATCTATTTTACCATTAAAGCTACAGAGCAAAAACTACAGAGCAGAACCTCACTTTCTGCCTGACACTGTCATGTTTAATCCTCAATCCTCAATACGCATTCTGAGATTATTTCACATTTTGAAGGCTGAGAGTCAACATGTTAAAGCGGAATTTCACCAATTTATTTCAAATTACCTGCATAATTAAACAGGTAAAATGAAAGCAAAGCTGTTTAGATTGGTTTGCTGTGAAATGCCTTATTCTAGAGAAACTTACCCATAATATTCATATTTTTTTTTGCAGTGGTAGTGATTGGAACCTGAAGTCAAAAGAGTTTAATGCCTTTAAAAGCTCCCTCACAGAAAGTCATTACACAAAATTGCTATAAATATGCTGCCTGATGTCAGAGACAGTGTTTTATGATACTTTTGATAAGGTTATGGCCTAAAACATAGGTTTTGAAAATCAATTCAAAATAAACCAAACAACGGCAAAATAAACCCCTAAGAACAAGCCTACTTGTTATTTCAGCAATCATTTTGCAATTATCGCCATTACATATAAAACGTGTCGGATCGAAAGCAGACAACATATTTTGGATAGCAAATAAAACAGTAGACATTGCAACCCCGGCTCCTCGCACCATCACTGCAAAGAAATCTGAGTGGGTAAGTTTTTGTGTGAGGCACCAAATTTACATCAAACCACTCTAATTAATTTTATGTTAACTTACCCTTAGAACAGACGGCTGGCAGCTGGTAGCATAAACTCTTGCCACGACCAGTTGGCATCACCAAGAAGAGGTCTTTCCCTGACATGCTGAGGTTAATGGCTGCCCGCTGAAGTGGCCGGAATTTGGAGAGCTTGAAAACATTCTGCAGTTTCTCCTGAACCCCTTTTGACCATGGGAAATCTATAATAGTAGGCAGAAATATTGTTACTGTTTTTGTTGACAGCTTTACATACACACTATGCATACTTTCTGGTGAAAGCAAGTAGATTCTAAACGATGCACACTTGTTTATCCCTCTCTGTGGCTACATTTACATGCAAAGATCTTCGCCAATCTGATTGAATACATTCCAATTATAGATCAAGACTAAGGTGTTTATATGCACACTCTCCTGACCAATCTGATAGAAAATCTCCGTTTATCTGCACACTGCAAATAATCCGATCCAAAATTACACGCATACGTAGAGAACCACTCAGTGTAGACGTTACCATGACAACGACCATCACGTGAGTCCAGTCAGAGTGAGACGAGCAGCAGTGAGCAGTGCTTGTGTTTTAAATTACTTTAAAATGATGTCAGACTCGGAAAATGTGCTTCACATGCATGTATTAAAGAAGGCCGAGAGGAAGACGTCGCGTTCTGAGACACGTAAGCTGGACGTCCGTCCCACCGCCGTCTTTTGAAGATCAGAGCATAAACTTCGTCTCCTCTGCAGACCAGTTTCTGCTCCGCCATGTTGAACGTTATAAACTTCCGCTATGACGTGACGAACATGATCAGAACGGACTTAAACTTTCAGACTGGGAAGGTAATCAGATACAGGCGTTTACACGGATATTATTCTTCTGTTTAACAGATTATTTACAGGATTACCCACCTCGTTCAATCGGACAGACATTGTGTTCCCAATGGCCTCAGTTGGACTAGTCTATTCTGACTGAGGTGTATTCATGGACGTTATTTTATTCCGATTGTGCTATTAGTCGGATTATTAACGGATTATCAGGCTGCACATAAACGTGGCTACTATTTCTACTTTCATCAGCAACGCAGAGCCACTAACCTGACTCCTCATAGTGTTGCAGGTCCTTCTTGCTGAAGGCCGGTTTGGAGGCCTTTCCAGATCCTGAGGGCTGAGGAGACTCACAGGAACCCTCCAGTATTTTCAGTAGCTTGTTCTTCCTGGAGGTTAGAGAGGCCTGCTTCTCCAGGAGCTCGGAAATCTGCAGCTCCAGAACCTCCAACTCAGCTTCTACTGAGTCCAGCTCCGCCCGAGCCTCCTCTGCCACAGAGCAACACAGTCAATCAGTTATTATGCATCACTACTCTTTGGAGTAACATCTTAACTTCATAATCTCATTACTGTTAACAGGAACATACATCAAATGTAGAATTAAAGATCCAGGCATCACGTGCATAGCAGTAGACAGAATTTTTGGTATTATTGCTTTGTCAGACAGAAAGAAAGGAAACCCACACTGAAAAATATGAAAAGGTCATATGTATGTGAGTTTAAATGTTTTATATTATATCCAAGTTGGTTGGTTTGATGTTTTTGAGTGAGGATTCCATTTATACTAAGTGTTCTAGTGAAGAAAGTCAATTAAATTGCAATTAAGTTCAATGCACTGATGCAGCTGATGAAGATCTCTTTTAATATGTGCAACGGCTCTGGTTACCCATTAAGCTTTTATACAGAATTCCTAAAGTCTATAGGAAGGTAGATCTCCAGGAGCAGTGTTGGTAACCACCGCTCTCAAATACACCCACACATGCGCTCACATATTTAAAGTGATTAAATATTTTTCAAAATACATTTTAAAAGCTGTAATGAATACTGTTTGATCGAACCAATACACAAAAATAATCCAAAAGCGCTATAATTTCCCATATGTAATTCCACATGAGTGTTAATACGCAATTAATGCCTAGCTAAACTTCCAAGTCTGGACAAGGAAGTCATGGGAGAGAGTGGGGCACAAACTAAAGAGAGCTAACATGTAACATGGATATTTTAAACAGGTTGAAGTAAAAGGTGCTTTTAGTCGTTTTCTCGTACTTTCATAGCACTGTCATCTGCTAATTTTGACAACAAACAGACAAACATTTCTCCAAATTCACCCTGAACACTGTTTCATGTGACTTTTTTCCACAGCAAGTATTTTTCAATGACTGAGTTGTGTGTGAGTCACAGAATTCACTCCTGCATTATTTTAATCTCTTTCTTGGTGACTGTAATATTGTATTGTTCTGAAGTATGTACACAATTGACAGTGAGAGCCAGGCTAAAGTACAGCCTCCACAAGGCAGGGTTAGTTTAACATACTAACGCCTAAAGCTCTATTCATACAGGATTAGTTTTCCATGGGGAGGTGGGTAAAGCCAGTTTATCATAGGACGTCTGTAATATTTATGATTCACAAGGAATAAAAACATGTTAAAACATTTCATTTAGCCTTTATTTCTTTTACCATAACCCTTTATTTTTCTGTCTGAATGCAGCGCGTCATTAGCACTGGGAATTCACACCAAACAGTCAGCTTTACCGCATAAAATTAATCTCTTTTTTTGCAATTTTTACATGTTCTGAGCTGTACAGGACAGAAATTATACATATCAGCTTGATTTTATCCACAGATAACACAAGTAAATGCTTCTTCAATTTCCTTCCTATTTATGTGTCCACATGATGTGATAGTGTTTTTACCAACATGCCAATTTGCAGAGGATTAATATAACCTGAGGTTATTTATACTGCTTGTTCTATAGAAGGTAAAATGTGCCGAACTCTTTATTGAAGCGAAGAGAAAGAGTAAAGAGTTTTGGTTGGTGGACTATTCTCAGTCCAGCAGTGACACTGAGGTGTTTAAAAACTCCAGCAGCACTGCTGTGTCTGATCCACTCAGACCAGCACAACACACACTAACACACCACCACCACATCAGTGTTACTGCAGTGTTGAGTATGATCCACCACCCAATAGTACCTGCTCTGTTAGGGTCCATGGGGGTCCTGACTGAAGAACAGGGTAAAAGGGGGCTAACAAAGTATGCAGAGAAACAGATGGACTACAGTCTGTAACTGTAGAACTACAAAGTGCACCTATATAGTAAGTGGAGCTGATAAAATGGACAACAAGAGTAGAAACAAGGAGGTGGTCATAACGTTATGCCTGATCAGTGTATATTTATATTTTCATTTGTAGCACAGATGTGTAGATTGCTTGTACATAAAAATAACCTTCCTCAACTATTTTTAAAATTACTTCGTAAAAACTAAAATGCTCCCCTCTGTCAAACAATCTTCAGCCAAGGATTGAGCCATTTTACAGAGGTCAACAGTCCGAAAGTAAACTAGGATCAGCCCGTAAACACAGCAACATCCTCTTGAGACCTGAAGTAACATTTCGTCTCCTGTAAGAAGGCAGCTGCGTCTGCCACCCCCAGCTCTCTAATGAGCCGTGCTTCACAGGGACCACATTAATGACGGAGATCTCACCAGTGTGTTTACCTACCTGCCTCATGGGATCAGCATCCTAGTACTGTACACCTCTGTCTCCACAACAATCCATTTTCACTTGAAATTACTTTTTAGTAACTGCCTTTTGTCTCTAGCACTTCATGTTACAGATGGTACATTAAGGTCACACTCAGCTGGCAGGTAATTGAGGACACTAACCTTTGTCACTGATGCTGGCCATTTTGGCAGCTGGTCTTCAGGAAGGCTTTTTCAAAGAGGTTACACCTTCAGATCATTCTAGAAAACAAAAGGCCAATAGCGTTAACTACACAGTTAAAAAATATGGTTCTTCAAGCGTTCTTTAGTAAAGGCAATTGTTCTATTTAGCACCATAAATTCTATATAGAACCATTTGCATGCTTAAATTGTTCTTCAGATTGATGGAGAATGTGTTGCATATGTTTCTGTATAGAACATTTCTGAAAATGGTTCTATACAGCACCAAAAAGGGTTCTTCTAATGTTGTGATGTCAAGCTTGTAACAACAGAACCCTTTACGGTGCTATATACAATCAATTCAAGCTTACATGGTTCTCTGTATGGTGCAATGGATCTTCAGATCAATATTGAATGTGTTGTAGATGGTTAGATATAGCCCCTTTCTGAAAATGGTTCTATATAGAACCAGAAAGGGTTCTTCTAATATTGTGATGTCAAGCTTGTAACAACAGAACCATTTATGGTGCTATGTAGAATCATTTCAAGCTTACATGGTTCTCTGCATGGTGAAATGGTTCTTCAGATCAATAGAAAACGTGTTGTATATGGTTCTACATGAAATCTTTTTGAAGACGGTTCTATACAGCACCAAAAAAGGGTTCTTCTAATGTTACAGTGTGAAGCTTGTAACACCAGACCCCTTTTTGGTGCTATGTAGAATCATTTCAAGCTTACATGGTTCTCTGTACGGTGCAATGGATCTTCAGATCAATGATGAATGTGTTGTAGATGGTTAGATATAGAACCTTTCTGAAAATGGTTCTATATAGCACCAGAAAGGTTCTTCTATCGTTATGATGTCAAGTTTGTAACTATAGAAGAACCCTTTCTGGTGCTATAAAGAACCATACACATTATATTCTCCATCAATCTGAAACAAACATTTCACCATGCAAAGAACTACTTAAGAAAGAAATGGACCTCATGGTTCTAAACAGAACCACTGCCTTCACCAAAGCACACTTGAAGAACCATAATTTTAAGACTGTGCGTTAGTAATGTAGAGAATCAATGCAGTTAAACGTGCATCATTGTTTAATTCAGAAAATCCACGTTTTTCTTTTCGTTTAGACTCAAATACTTCAAGCTGAGCTGAAGTTCAGTTCTTCATTTAGCTGCTTGCTAAGTTAACCACATTTAAATGAGCAGGTGTCTCTCAGACTCGATGGGCTGTGCAGCTAAAGCTATCTAACTTAGTTTAGACGAAGCTGAAGTCAGCTTCTTGTTCGAATTTTCCCGTTCCACCTTAAATGGTGCAGCCTCAGGCGCCAGAATGTCCGTTAACTGCTGCTCCATTTAAGGCGGAACGGAAAAGTTCGAACAAGCTGGCGAATAGGAAGCCCAATTTCAGCCTCGTCTAACTTAGCTTAGCTAACTTTAGATGTAAGATTAAACTGCACCGCCTCAATCACGTAACCAGCCAACAAGGGCGACTTTAATTATTTTTTCGCCTTTTAATAAACTTGGAAACGTAAAACGTTACTAATTATTTCACAAACTAGCAGAAGTGCTCGCAAAGCTACCCAGCCAGACGGACTGTCCGGTTAGCTAGCGTTAGCTACAGCTAGCCCAACTTTCATCTCCAAAGTTGATTCAAAGTCAGGGTTTTACGCACACCTCGTGAAATATGAGATGAATGTATACGTTAAACTCTAATAAATCGAGTCATGACGGGTAGGAATATATATCTAGAACTGCTGAATGAAAGAAAAGCGATAGAGCGCTCACCCGTGTTCACAGGCAGAGCCGCTGCTGCTCATAGCCGGGTCCTGTTTGCAGGCTGGTTGCCCCGGGAGACGGCAGTGCAGTGGTTTCCGCTCAGTAATATACGGAGGTAAAATAATAATAACGGTATTCCGTACACTTGCAACTTTTCCTGTTTGTGTAATAAAAACTACTTTCTTGACATTTGTCAACGACACACCCGAGACATTGTCATATATCCTTTTTTTCCATCAAATCGGTTGGCAAGACCATCTAAGCTGGGTTTGGACATCAAATCTGTGCAAATAGTGACCGGCCCCCGGCGCGACCCGAACATGGCGGGTGGGGAAACCCCGGGATGCGGATGTGAATGGGGTGGGGAAACTTTAACGGAGAGTTAAAATGCATTTTTGCACGTTTAAACATCATATTTAACACTAAAACGAGTATTAAACAATGGATTATCACCACGAAACACAGTTTGTTTAATACTGAGCTCTTAATCTAAGTTTACACCGTCAGCTAAGTGACCTTAGCAGACTCTTTTCAGCTGCGCAGCTTCACAGCACTGACTCACTTTACTGGGCTTTTCTCCATGGTAGCCTCATTCATTGCACATATTGTTTATAATAATTCACTTTTATAATCAGTTAATGTATCATTTTATGCAATTAGATTTCATAAAACTGAAAAATAATGGGAAAAAACTACGGAAACACTATGGAAGCTGGTGTAGGGAATACTTACAGTACAAACCGTTGACACTGCTGACGCTTTCTTTAAAAGTATTGGCCCAAATGTGACCAATCAAAATGCATCCTGGTTGCTAGGCAGATTTTGCAGAGTCCAACCAATCATTACACCCTGTATGACTTCGGGTATTTCCGCAATAACTGCTGAAACGCGAAAAGTGCCGAAGTACTGTACGGAATACAGCACTCTTACGTTAATAATTAATCCGAGTGAACGTTTTGCAGTTCGTACGCACGTTTTCTTTACTTCGTGGGTACGTTTTTTTTTTTAATTCGTGACCACGATTATCTAATTCGTTCTCTACTTTTCTTTTAACCGTGGTCATGTTTTATTTTTAACTGAACGCACGTTGTTTGTGTTTTGATAACAGCTCCCTGAGACCGTCTGACGGGTGTTGACGTGTTAGACTGATGAGATAATGGACAGAGATGCTCATCAGGTCTGATTGTGATTTGAGGGGGTTATGAGGAAACTGCAGCTCCTCTTCACAGCAAACGGCCCACGGTGTTTCTGCTCCCGGTCAAGCTGCGGTGTTAGAGACCATCACACAATTACAGGACGAAATGATCAGCATTTCAACATCCTCACATTAATATATCTACATCTAATCCATAGATCTGTTAAACTCCCTCGCCATTTGACCTCATCGCACATGAATGTGTCTGTGTGTGTTTAATTTGAGTTTGTTGAAACGTTGACGCTGATCCTTTCTTCCTGTAATTGTGTGATGGTCTCTAACACCGCAGCTTGGAACACCGGAGCAGAAACAGGGCTAAGGGGCCGCGCTGCGTCTCTATCAGTGTTAAATATGATCATTAGACAGTGCAGTTTAGTGAAGATTGTGGTTGTGGTTTGTTGTCTTCCTTCATTTCACCACCAAACTGCAGCTGCACTGATGAATCTGTGGGCTGTTTGCTGTGAAGAGGAGCTGCAGTTTCCTCATGACCCCCAAATCAGAATCAGACCTGATGAGCATCTCTGTCCATCTTATCTCATCAATCTAACTCATCAAAACCCATCAGACAGTCTCAGGGAGCTGTTAGTTACTCCTGCACCGGACCAATAACACGGCCTGCATCTACTACATTGATTTTGCGCATGAATCAAAAAAATAAACGATGTGTGTTCGGTTAAAAAATGAAACATGACAAAGATTAAAAGAAAACGAGAGAACGAATTAGAAAATCGTGATCATGAATAAACAAAAAAGTACCCACGAAGTAAAGAAAACGTGCACACATTTAAAAGAAAACGAGGGAACGAATTAAGAAATCGTGACCACGAATAAAAGAAAACGTGCGTACGAACTGTAAAATACGGAGCCCCGCTGGTGACATCCTGTATAAATAAAAATCATGCGTGGCCACGACTTAGTAAAGCGTTTTACTAAGTCGTGGCCACGACTTAATCATCTCATTCCCACGCCTTACTAAGGCGTGGCCACGCATTATTTTTTATTTATACAGGATGTCACCAGCGGGGCTCCATAGTAAAACGTTCTCTCGAATTAATTATTATTTTTTTTTTTACAGGGCTCTGTACTGAAGAGACACCATATGCTAATAGATATATTAATAGTTAATAGTTTATAGCCCAGATTTGTGGAAAAATGGGTCGACTTTCAGTAGAAAAAAAAATTGTGAGTTCAGCTTCTTTTATTATAAGGTTTAAAATTACATCACCCATCTATTTGACTGGAAAGAAGACAGTTACAGCTCTCATACGACCCCCATCTTCTGAATGTAGCTTATGAAATATGAAAGTTATAAAGAATATGACGAAGTGCGTTTTGGAACCACCGGTGGTCTCAAGGAGTTGAAAAGGTTAAGCTCAGAGACGGAGCAGCTCATTGAACTTTATGTTGATCTTGGATTGAAATATAAAGACATGGTGTCGCTTCTCAAAATCAACCATGATTCTGTTGTTAGTGGCTCAAACTGAGACTGAGGTCGAGGGTCCTCGTACAGTAAAAGCTACATTTACAGAGATGCAGAGAACAACTGCTGAATAAACTCAGCGCAGACTGGCCAAACTGGGAAAACAGCTTTTAATGTTAGCTATGCTAAAAACAAAGCTCTAATGTAGGCAGTGTCACTGGGCACCTCTGGTCCTACGTTTTCTTGCTATCTGACGAGCATATATTTTGCGAGGGACTGCAATGTCATTAACTTTATTAACGACTGTGCTGGGGGCAGTGGTGTGCTGGGGGCAGTGGTGGGCTGGAGGTTAGGGAACCAGCCTTGTGACCGGAAGGTCACTGGCTCTGATCCCCTCAGCTGACAGTACGTGACCGAAGTGCCCTTGAGCAAGGCACCTAACCCCCAACTGCTCCCCGGGCACCGTGGATAGGGCTGCCCACCGCCCCAGGCAAGTGTGCTCACTGCCCCCTAGTGTGTGTGTTCACTAGTGTGTATGTGGTGTTTCACTGCACGGATGGGTTAAATGCGGAGGTCTAATTCCGATGTGTTCAGACAGAGTTGGCTAAAGTTTCATTTCATTCATTTTTTTTTTTTAACCACGGCCCCTTAGGGGCTCCATAGAGTACAATATGTACATTGGGACATATGAAATACTTCAGATAAATATGAGACAAAAAGCAGAATGTCCTGTTTTATTTATATGTAATATTATTCATGAAGGTTAATCCTGGTGGGAAAAATGTTTTACAGTCTTATAGCTTTAATGTTAACTATTCTATATTCCCTAAATCTTAGAAACAAAATAAGTAGAGGACAAAGAATTCAAATGTTTCTCTCTGTTTTCAGCATTTAGGTTAATATGCTGCATATGATTTGCTGGACCTTCAGCATTTGATGATGGACACAGACTTACTTGACCAAAGAACAGGACCTTTTTAGTCAGAGGGGCTCCCTCTTTTATGACCATGAAGTCATATATAAATATATTTTGAATCAGGCTGTATCAAGTGAACACATCCACATCAGAGAACACATTTCTGCACGTTTTATTGCACAATGACTGTTTATTTGCTTGAATATAACATACTGGGCAAAAATAAAACAAGAAATTTGGGATGAACAAAAGTTATGGCACATTTCATCTTTTGTGCTTTATATTTGCCCAAAATGTTTAAAGGGGGACTCCACCAGCTTTTCAAAAAATTCTACATAATTAAATGGTTTGCAACCATTTGCAAACAGTGTCATTCAGAGTGGTTTGGTGTGAAACGCTCTGTTCTAGAGAAACTTACAGAGTCAGAATTGTTCACAGTGGTGGTGATAGGAACCAGACGTCCACCTATAAAATCTCCCTCACCAAAAGTTACTACATGAAATGGTTAGATATATGATAAGCCTGATGTCTGAGACACTGTTTTATGTTCGTTTTGGTCTAAAATGTAGTTTTTGCTCATCCATTCATGGTGGTGAGATACATGCAGCACGTTGTAAGACAAAATAGTTCCCAAAGAAAACTTATTTTTTTAGATTTATGACTATTTTACCATCATTAACATTTCATATAAAAGCTCAGAAGACTCGTGTAGGTTCACTGGTGGTTTTGGATAGTAAATAAAAAGCTTATATTTGTGTCGTAGTCATGTGACCCCTGGTTCCTATCACTGCTGTAAAGTCTCTACAACGAATCATTTTACATCTCTAGGACTGAATTATTCAGAAATTTTGAAATATTGGTGGAATTCCCCTTTAACTCAGCAAATAAATAGAAATTTCAGAGGTCTGTTCTCTGCAGAGGATATGTTAACTTAATTTCACTTAAAAAATCAACAAAACATATAATTTGACCAACAAAACATAATTTTGCATGCAACTGCACCAAATAGTGCATGCATGATTTTGGTTGTCACCTTCTGGTGGTTGAAGCTTGTCCTGTCACTTGGGTGTATATATAAAATGTTATGAACAGTGGAAGTTCAGTTAAGGAACACTTTACTATTTACACATCAAAATTCATCATCAGCCAAAATAGACAAGGATTCACAATAAGATCTAAATAAAATATAGATAAATATCTATATGCAAAAATGTACAGGATATCTGCCCAGATCACATAGAACTTTATCATCACCATCCTCCTCTTCATCATCCATCACCAGCAGCAGCAGCATCATTCTCTTCTCCTTCTTCAACAACGACATTATCCACCACCATCTCCAGAAGTGTGAAAACGTCTTGAAGATCATGTCACATTTAAAGTGAATGCTCCTCATTACTGGTCTCTCCTCTCCTTGATTCCTTTTGGCCTAGAAAGCCAAAAGGAGGCAAAGTGAATCAGCAACCAATGAGCTTTGAGGAACCGGCAATGACTCCAGCCACCACAAGAGGCCGCCATTAAACAAGAAAGCAGCATGGCCTGCACTGACTGACCGAGAAACATCTGCTGAAGTTTTAAAGTGTGGAGAATCTGTCTTTCTGGAAAATCTGGAATGGAGACGACTGAAGCCACGACTGAAAGGACCCAGTATGTGACTAAATATTGGAAAGGTGAAGTGCAGCATCTTTCTGAATACATACTCCCATTAACATGCATAATGTTCTGAAGTGATGCTTTAAAGAGTCCAGGATG